GGTGCCCAGAATACAACAGTTTAGAAGCATATACGTATAAAGATACACAACATATCCCTCCAAACTGCTAATATCCCAAACCACTCCTGGTCACAGACCGGGCCGCGGGGGCGTTGACCCCCGAAACTCTCTCCAGGTAAAGTGCAGGCATTGTACTTCCCATTTCCAGGACTCAAGTCCGACTATATGAAAATAACCGGTTTCCCTGAATCCCTTCACTAAATATTACCCTGCTCACACTCCAACAGATCGTCAGGTCCCAAGTATCATTCGTCTCCATTCACTCCTATCTAACACGCTCATGCACGCTTGCTGGAAGTCCAAGCCCCTCACCCACAAAACCTCCTTAACCCCCTCTTTCCAACCCTTTCGAGGACGACCCCTACCCCTCTTTCCTTCCCCTATAGATTATATGCTTTCCATGTCTTCTACTTTGATCCATTCTCTCTAAATGACCAAACCACCTCAACAACCCCTCTTCTGCCCTCTGACCAATGTTTTTTATTAACTCCACACCTTCTCCTAATTTCCAAACACTCCGAATTTTCTGCATAATATTTACACCACACATTCCCCTTAGACAGGACATCTCCACTGCCCTCCAACCGTCTCCTCGCTGCTGCATTTACCACCCAAGCTTCACATCCATATAAGAGTGTTGGTATTTACTATACTTTCATACATTCCCTTCTTTGCCTCCATAGATAACGTTTTTTGACTCCACATGTACCTCAATGCACCCTCCCCTTTTTTTCCCTCATCAATTCTATGATTAACCTCATCCTTCATAAATCCATCCGCCGCACGTCAACCCCCAAGTATCTGAAAACATTCACCTTCTTCCATACTCTCCTCCCCAATTTGATATCCAATTTTTCTTTATCTAAATCATTTGATACCCTCATCACCTTACCTTTTCTATGTTCACTTTCAACTTTCTACCTTTACACACATTCTCAAACTCATCCACTAACCTTTGCAATTTTTCTTTAGAATCCCCCCATAAGCACAGTATCATCAGCAAAAAGTAACTGTGTAAATTTCCCCATTTTGAATTTGATTCCCCATAATTTAATCCTACCCCTCCCCCAAAACACCCTAGCATTTACTTCTTTTACAACCCCATCTATAAATATATTAAACAACCATGGTAACATTACACATCCCCTGTCTAAGACCTACTTTTACCGGGAAGTATTCTCCCTCTCTTCTTACACACCCTAACCTGAGCCTCACTATCCTCATAAAAGCTCTTTACAGCATTAGTAACTTACACCTATTCCATAAACTTGCAACATCTGCCACATTGCTCCTCTATCCACTCTATCATATCCTTTTCAAAATCCATAAATGCAATAAAAACTTCCCTTCCTTTATCTAAATACTGTTCACATATATGCTTCAATGTAAACACTTGATTCTACACATCCCCTACCCACTCTGAAGCCTCCTTGCTCATCCGCAAATTCTACATTCTGTCTTACCTCTAATTCTTTCAATTATAACCCTACCGTATACTTTTCCTGGTATTCAGTAAACTTATTCCTCTATAATTTTTAAATCTCTTTTGTCCCCTTTCCCTTTTATATAAAGGGACTATACATGCTCTCTCCCAATCCCTAGGTACCTTCCCCTCTTTCATACATTTATTAAACAAAAGTACCAACCACTCCAACACTATATCCCCCCCTGCTTTTAACATTTCTGTCATGATCCCATCAGTTCCAGCTGCTTTACCCCCTTTCATTCTACGTAATGCCTCACGTACCTCCACCACACTTACATTCTGCTCTTCTTCACTCCTAAAAGATGGTATACCTCCCTGGCCAGTGCATGAAATTACCGCCTCCCTTTCTTCCTCAACATTTAAAAGTTCCTCAAAATATTCTCGTCATCTACCTCTGGTGGCCTGGTGGTTAACGCTCTCGCTTCACACGGTGAGGGCCTGGGTTCGATTCCCAGCCAGAGTAGAAACATTGGACGTGTTTCTTTCCACCTGTTGTCTATGTTCCCCATCAGTAAAATGGGTACCTGGGTGTTAGTCGACTGGTGTGTGTCGCATCCTGGGACACTGACCTAAGGAGGCCTGGTCACAGACCGGGCCGCGGGGGCGTTGACCCCCGGAACTCTCTCCAGGTAAACTCCAGGTAATACCTCCCTCTCCCCATCTACTAACTCCCCTACTCTGTTTTTAATGGACAAATCCATACTTTCCCTAGGCTTTCTTAACTTGTTTAACTCACTCCAAAATTTTTTCTTATTTTCATTAAAATTTCTTGACAGTTGCCTCTCCCACTCTTTCATCTGCTCTCCTTTTGCACTCTTCACCCCTCTCTTCAACCTTTCTTTTACTCTCCATATACTCTGCTCTTCTTATAACACTTCTGCTTTGTAAAAACCTCTCGTAAGCTACCTTTTTCTCTTTTATCACACCCCTTTTTCTTCATCATTCCACCAATCACTTCTCTTTCCTCCTGTCCCCACCCTCCTAAACCACATCTTCTGCCCCACATTCTAATACTGCATTTTTAAAAAATATTCCAACCCTCTTCAACCCCCCCACTTCTCAATCTTTGGCACAAGCCACCTTTCTGCCAATTAGTCGCTTATATCTCGCCCGAACTTCCTCCTCCCTTAGTTTATACACTTTCACCTCCTCTTACTTGTTGTTGCCACCTTCTCTTTTCCCCTCTACCTCTTACTCTAACTGTAGCTACAACTAAATAATGATCTGATATATCAGTTGCCCCTCTATAAACATGTACATCCCGGAGCCTACCCATCAACCTTTTATCCACCCAAAACATAATCTAACAAACTACTTTCATTACGTGCTACATCATACCTTGTATATTTTATTTATCCTCTTTTTTCAAAAATATGTATTACTTATTACCAAATTTCTTTCTACACATAGCTCAATTAAAGGCTCCCCATTTACATTTACCCTGGCACCCCAAATTTACCTACTACTCCCTCCATAACATTTTACCCACTTTAGCATTGAAATCCCCAACCACCATTACTCTCACACTTGATTCAAAACTCCCCCCGCATTCACTCAAAAATTTCCCAGAATCTCTCTCTCTCCTCTACACTTCTCTCTCTCCAGGGGCATACACGCTTACTATAACCCACTTTTCACATCCAATCTTTATTTTACTCCACATAATCCTTGAATTTATGCATTTGTAGTCCCTCTTTTCCTGCCATAGCTTATCCTTCAACATTATTGCTACTCTTCTTTAGCTCTAAAATCTATTTGAAACCCCTGAAACCCAATCCCATTTATTCCTCTCCATTGAAACTCTCCCACCCCCTTCAGCTTTGTTTCACTTAAAGCCAGGGGCATCCAGTTTCTTCTCATTATAAAAATCCACAATCATCTCTTTCTTATCATTTGCACAACATCCACGCACATTCAGACTTCCCACTTTGACAATTTTCTTCTTATTCTTTTTAGTAATCTTTTCAGGAAAAGGGGTTACTAGCCCCTTGTTCCCGGCTTAAGTTGACTTTTGCAACACGCATGGCTTACGGAGGAAAGATTCTTATTCCACTTCCCCATGGATATAAAAGGAAAAGTAATAAGACCAAGAACTATTAAGATAAAATCAAAGAAAACTCAGATGAGTGTGTATAAATAAACGTGTACATGTATGTGTAGTGTGACCTAAGTGTAAGTAGAAGTAGCAAGACGTACCTGTAATCTTGCATATTTATGAGACAGACAAAAGACACCAGCAATCCTACCATCATGTAAAACAATTACAGGCTTTCATTTTACACTCACTTGGCAGGACAGTAGTACCTCCCTGGGTGGTTGCTGTCTACCAACCTACTACTGCCTGTATGTATATTGATTTAATTTACTGTACTTCACAGTTTTACCCCTTAGCTCTATTCTTTCATTTTACTATAATGAAGTTGGCATAGTACATTATACTGCATTTTTATGAGTAATTGTATGGGCTTAATATATGCAATTATATGTATGTATTTATGAAGTGTACAGTGTAATATATAATTTTTCTGTATGATAAGAAAAAGCATGAATTGTTATTTTTGTAACCCTTTATTTATTTATTTATTTATTTTTTATTTGAACATTATACATAGTTGTACAAAGAAATAGTGATTTGGTGTACATGCCAAAAGCCCCTTGTATGCAGAGCATTATGGGCAGGCTTAAAATTAACTTAAGATTAACTAAGCAATGATATATTCAGTGGTAAAAATTACAGTTTGAACATTAAAATGGTATAAAATACCGACAGGTTGTTAGGTAAGACACATATGCAACAGTTAGGTATCTTTATTTTGAAACGTTTCGCCTACACAGTAGGCTTCTTCAGTTGAGTACAGAAAAGTTAATGGAAGCAGAAGAGACTTGAAGACGATGTAATCAGTCCATCAATCACCCTTGAAGTTTTGAGGTGGTCAGTCCCTCAGTCTGGAGAAGAGTATTGTTCCATAGTCTGAAACAGTATTGTTTCAGACAATGGAACCACCTCAAAACTTCAAGGGTGATGGACTGATTACATCATCTTCAAGTCTCTTCTGCTTCTATCAACTTTTCGAAACATTTCGAAATAAAGATACCTAACTGTTGCATGTGTGTCTTACCTAACAAAAATTACAGTAAACAAATTACAACATGAAGTACAAATGAGTATTTCAAATAAGAAGCATTAAAGTTGTACAAATTTGTAGCGTAACAATGTATAATATAATTGAATCAGATCGAGTAAAATCAATGATTTGTAGTACAGAAACAGGTCATATGGCCATTACTCATGAAATCGTAATGACACGATTGCAAACAAACCATATCCCCTCCCGTGGTATGGTTCATATGGTCATTAAATGAGTTACTGTGCATTCAAGAGAATGGAGTATTATTAAGTAATGTAATTAAAAAACATAGTTTGACAGGGTCACAGGTTATACATTTACGAGATTCAGTTTTATAGTACACTAAGCCAATTACTTTTTTACAGGCACAATGGGTAATTGGTCATCTAAAAAATCTGAGACAGCTTCAGCATCAACATATAATGTATACCAGCCCCCTAGCAATGCACAAAGTTCATCTAATGTGACAACTGCATCATCAGGAAACTATTCAGGGCATAGTAACAATACAGCCCAAACAACAGCATCAAATATATTCCAGTCTTCTCCACAGCCACCTAGCATAACACGAAGTTCATCTAGTGTGACAACTGCATCTGCAGCAACACATTCAGTGCATAGCTATAATACATCCCGAACAACAGCGTCAAATGTACAGACATCACAGGTACCGGTGTATGTCACGGTTCAAAGAGACATTCCAGTGAAGGCTCAGCAGATTATTAAACACAGTGCAAATTCCTATATAATCCCCAAATTACAGCAGAGTGAGAGGTGGCAGCAACAAGAGATTAATAATCCTTTCAGTAGTTTACCAGATAAATTTGGTTTAAGGATTTGTCCTCAGTATAATAGTAAAACTGGTTGCAGGGCTGAAATTTGTAGAAGACTTCATGTTTGCCTTTACCAGGTTATGAAGAAATGCAACAAAGACAACTGTGAAAAGGATCATTCATTTACATCAAATCATAATAACATGATCCTTAAAATTTTTTGGAGGAGGAGAGATTTTAATATAAATTTACTCACAGAAATTCTCCAAAACAATCACAAAGCCAAAAAAAATACAAAGCAAGAACAAGATGACTGTATTTGTCTTTATAATATTATGAGAAAGTGCAACAGGAAACCTTGCTCCCAAATTCATTCTAAGAAATCATATCAGTGGGAAGTAAAAAATAATGCAGGAAAGTGGCTACAGTTTTCTTACAAACAAAGTGATTACTTAGAAAGTATATATTGCGATCCATCTCAGGATTCTGTTGAATTGCTTCCATTACCATCAGAGTTGCTAAACCATAAACCATTTCATGCACTTAAATGTCTCCTGGCACAAGGCCAGTCATGGGAAGTTGATATGGAGAGGATGAAGCTTTTCGCAGGAAGTCTCAGTTATTGTATACGTAGACTGTCAACACCATCTGACATCACATCTGACTTTCATATGGCTTGTCGTTGGATCTGGTACTGGCAGGATGATGATAATTTATGGAAACCTTACACCGATGGTACTCGAAAGTTTTTTATTGTAGCTCTCAGTGATCAGTTAGAATACCATCTACACTTTGGTCATGGCACATTCAATGTTACACTTGGTACACATACCTATGTTATTGATACTCAAGATATGATTCAGAAAAATACAGAAACAGGTAAGATACGAACAGTACGGAGAAGACCAGTTTGTACGATATTTGAGGATAAGGTAACATCATTTGATAAAATGTTTTCAACATTGCCCAGTGACAAGAGATACATGCTATTTCCTGTTCTTCCTTCAACTTCAGAATTTGTTTTTATAGAGAAAATGATAAAAAATACTCTCCCAATGGCTAATTTAAAAATACAGAGAATTCAGAATGATCATTTATGGAATGCATACCAGAATAAAAAGAGTCAGCTTTTAGCTCTATATAATGACTTATCACTGGTGAATGAACAGTATCTCTTCCATGGAACAAAGCATTCTGTAATTGATCAAATTTGTTGTGAAAATTTAGATTGGAGACTTTATGGTAGTAATGTTGGCAATGTATATGGCCGGGGAACATATTTCTCAAATAAAGCTAGTCTGTCAGATAGTTACAGTGAGACTAACAATTTAAATCAAAAAGCACTCTTTGTAATATATGTATTGGTTGGTACAATGACAGTTGGAAATTCTGGTATGACATTGCCTCCTACAAATCCTGAAACGGGGAGATGTTTTGATACAACATGTAATGATAAACTAAAGTCTGAAATATTTGTTAAGTATAATAGAGATGAATATTATCCAGCTTATATAGTGAAGTATTACAAGCCCACATGTCAGTATTAAATCAACTGGCCTTGGTTACTTACAGAAACAAGAAGGAAAGACAAAGTATATTACTGTACTGTGTGATGTACAATCAGCTGCTTAATATTAAATTTGTTGATTTAAGTGCATCTGCTGATAATGGCTAGGAATTTCCATGCAGGACTCCAGTGCTTTATAAGGTAAACACAAAATTACTTTGCCTGTTATGTAGAAGTCTAGTCAGTCAGGTAAATTCAAAATTCAAATTCAAATTTTTTATTTCTTTTATATAGTACACTTGTAATATTGAAATTTAGATCAGCAGTTGCATTTGTATTTACCAACATTTACAATAACTTCCACAAACATTATAGTAAATTGTTCCATTAAAACTTCCAACAAATTGCATGCAAACAATTCCATTAGTGGTTAATAGTTTATTTTAAGGCTGCTCAAAATACTCTTCATAACTAAGGGCTTTCCATAATGAAATAAAATTTATCATTTATCATTTGGTACTATACTGTATCACTTGCAGGAGTTAGTAGGAGCTATCATGTTCTCAGCCTGATACTACACTTTACTCCAGCCAAAGCAAACAACATAGCAGTATGTACACTACTTATTCAGATTCAAAATTTATTTCTTAATGATAGGTAAGCTTGTTGAACATAAACTATGTGAGTAATGTGTTCATCATCTTGTTTATGTGCCCCTACTTTGTCCCAGTGACAGTTTCACTGAAAATTCCTGTGATATGTATGCTCTGCTTGGTCATTTCTAGTGCCTTAAACCATTGTATCTCTTAGCACTATAAGCAATTAGATATTAGTAAACAAAAAATCTGAAGGCAGGTTTCCCCTCCTTCCTGTTGTGTATTTTGTGTATTATGTGATCTTATACAATTTTAATGAATGTTATGTTCTTGCACAATTGTTACAAGGATGGGTTAACATTGTATAGAAAAAAAACATAATTATACATAGCATTTTGAGCACTTAAATTAAAAATAAAACTAATTGAGTTGAATTTATAAATTTACGTCATTTGAGACAAGTGCAAATGTTACAAAACAGTTTTGCTGAAAATTGTGTTTTCTTTTTTTTTGGGTGGGGGGGGGGGGAGAGGGGGCTTCATAGATATAATTATGCTTTAGCAATGGCAGGAGGTATTCAAGATATCCACACACATTATTGTATCTAATGATTTTAAGTCTGAAATTGGATGCTTTATCCAAGTTTCAAAAAGTTAGAATGATAATTTATAAATTTTTCTTTTAATTTTTTTTTTTATGCACCATGGCTATGATTTGCATAACATTCTACATGGCTAGATTGAGATGTTGATCTGATACCCCACTTAACAGGATGGTTACTGTTAAAGGGTTCTTGATCCAAGGATTGGATCTACTCTTACAAGTTTAGGAATAATATACATGTATACCAGTTTTGCAGCATTAGCCGTGAGTTTGACTTCGACCCTTCTAATAGGTCTGTAATTACTTTTAGTGACACTACTGTACTGGACAACCATCACACAGAATGGTGCAGTTTTAATCCGATTGATGACTGTAGAATATAACCACACCACACATTCAGCACTACATGGTCACTTCATACACACATCTGAGTGATAACAGCAGTGCAAGACAGTAACACAAGAGAAGGGCATAACATTAGCATTGAACAGCATAATACTGTACATCAAGATATATACAATATACTATGCTCAATGCATTTACACAGGCAGTGGGACACCATCAGCTATGTTTAATACTTGAAAGCAGGTGCAGTAGACTGGAAAAATTATGCAAATTATAATGGGGAAGTGCTGAACCCTAAGGGGGTCACATAGCACCTAGCAAGGCCATTAGGTTTGATCCAAGGAATGGACCTTTTCAATTCCTTTGATCATGAGCCTGTATTTGGCATCAAAATACCTTCCTGAAGGGTGAGGACAAGCATTCGTGAAGTGGTGCACATTCCCGTTGCAATTCATCCTCATACCATAGTTAGAACACTTGATTATAAACACTGTATGACCCTTTTGGGTTTAGCACTTAATGTGATTACACTGTTATTGGTTATCAACATTTTCCACTTTGGCAGATGCTCTCCCTCTCCCTAAATACCATAAGTTTCCTGCATTTCTATATAATTTGCTTATTGCTGATTAACTCATTACTTAATTCACAGGGAAATGCTAAACCTGTAAGGGTCATACAGCATGTGTAATTATGTGACCATGAAGTCTTGTAATTTTCATTACCAGTGAGTAGGGGATTTCCACTTTGCTAAGCTTGATAATTTATTTTCCCAATTAAATATAAAAGATGGCAGTTTTCCAGTCTTTAACTATACCTTGAAATGAGCAGCTTATTGACAAAACATCCATATAGTACCTCTTCATTGCAAATGTTTAGTATTTAAGTTTTTATCAATACTGTATAATGAAAGGAATTACCAAGAAATCTAGTAGTGCTTTGGGTAAATTTATTCTATTCCTACCTTGTCTCAACCCCTCTCAGTTTGGATTCAGGACTAATAAAAGCACAAATGATGCTATTGTACACATGCTAGAACTAATATACACTGCTCTCGAGAAGAAAGAGGTCCTACTGGGAATCTTCATTGATTCACATAAAGCTTTTGATACAGTCAACCATGATTTGCTGCACATTAAATTAACACACTGTGGTATAAGAGGGCACTCCCTCAACTACCTAAAGTCATACTTTAGTAACAGAAGCCAATGTGTGTACACAAATGGAGCTAACTCTTCCACACAACCAATTACAGTTGGGGTCCCATAAGGAAGTGTCCTTGGCCCTCTCCTCTTTCTCATTTACATCAGTGACCTACCGAATGCATCACAACTACTCAAACCCATATTATTTGCAAATGACACAACATACGTCTTCTCACCCAAACCCAGTCATGCTGGCCAACACTGTTAATGCTGAATTGCAGAAAATATCTACCTGGATGATGATTAACAAGCTTACACTCAATATTGACAAAACCTGTTTCATTCAGTTTGGAAACAGCCACAAATCTACTGCTAAACGGATCACCCATCACAAGACATACAGAGGGAAAGTTCCTAGGAATCCACCTTGACAGTAGCCTTATTATTATTATTATAATCAAGGGGGAAGCGCTAAACCCGGAGGATTATACAGCGCCTGGGGGGGATGTGGAAGGCATTCAGGCTTAATTCGGGGAACTGGAGCACAGATCCAATTCCCTAAATCAAGAGCCCCTCACCAACATCAAGGAACCTTCCTTGAGGGGACAGTAGCCTTAAATTCCAGACCCATATACAACAAATTTCAAAGAAAATCTCCAAGACATACTATCAAAGATATGGTACTATGTTCCACAATCAGCTCTCCTTACACTGTATTACTTGCTCATCTACCCTTATCTCACCTATGGAATTTGTGCATGGGGGCCAACAACATTAAATCACCTAAGACCACAAATAACCCAGCAAAAGGTTACAGTCAGAATGATAACAAATTCCCACTCCAGACAGCATACTCCACCAATATTCAAGTCTAAAACTACTCACCGTAAAGAACATCCATACTTATTCTTGTGCCTGCTGCATACATAGAACACTACACTCAAACATAAACCCTTCACTCAAACTTCTCACCAACCTTAATAGGAAGCATGACCATAACACAAGACACATCACTTTTTGATGTACCCCATGTCCACATCACACTGTGTAAGAACTCTATGCACATAAAGGGCCCCAAAATTTTAAACACATTACCAGTAAATACTAAAGTAACCTGGTCTGAACATCAATTTAAGACTTCTCAAAAACCATCTACTCATCCTAAACTAAATATTCAATACTCAATACTTAAATTTACCAAAAGATCTCCCAATTACCTAAATCTTAACACTTCAAAATTTAAATACCCAAGGTTCATTTTTTTTTTTTTATTATCACACTGGCCAATTCCCACCAAGGCAGGGTGGCCCAAAAGGAAAAACAAAAGTTTCTCCTTTCACATTTAGTAATATATACAGAAGGGGTTACTAGCCCCTTGCTCCTGTGTAGTATAAATACCTTCACAAAACACTACTGCCTTGCACCATATTGTAGCATTCTCATACTGTAAACTACTTTCACCAGTGCTCAATATTATACTATTCCAATAATGTAACTTAAATATTTACTATTGATATACACAACCTTCAAAATACTTTCAAATTGTCCCAGTGTAATATCCCCAGATTGTAACTTTAGTTAATTTACTGTCTGCTTTAAATAAAAACAGATGTACAACTTAAACTATGATCAATTTCTCTGGTATTTAGTCTGTAAGCCATTAATTTAGTCTGCCCATAATGCTGTGGCATGATAGTGGCTGTCTTTGCGCTGCAACTCATTATTGTAATTTCATAATCTCACTGTAAACTTGCAAAGAAATAAAAATTGTACTGTATTGTATAGGGAACCAGATTTAGAATAATGTTTTGAGGGCTGAATCAAAACACCACTCCTGAAACAGTTTCTTCAGATCTCGCCTTGCTTTGGTTGGGAAAAAAAGACTAATAAAAAAATGAGGTATATTTTAAAGGTAAGAGCTCTGAATACTGTAAACTTTATTTGTATTTACAGTACAATCGTAATAAATAGGATTGTACAGAAATGATAGAGTCCTGTTTGTTTACTAAATAACTAATAGTTGCAGGAAATTGGTCATTACAATTAAGTGCTGACAAATTGCATAAGTTAAAATATTCACCTATGACACTACCTTAAACAAAAAAAATAAACTAGTTTTAGTTTATTAAGTCTCACCTACAATATTATCATCAAAATCAAGTGCTAAACCCACAAGGGTCATACAGCATTGATCTATAATAACAGACGTGTCACACCAATTTAAAATCAGGCATTTTGCTATAGTTATCTATGTAGCTAGATGATTATAATAATAATAATAATAATAATATGTAGCTAGAGAAAATCGAAGGAAGGGGGAGGGCAGTGAGTCAACTGTATATTGAATTTGTCATTTTGAAGTACATCTTTAAAAATTAATCCTTAAATTGTCAGTGGGAGTAAAATGAAGATGTATTGTGCAAAAATATTTTCTTTTTGCCCAAAAATTGGCCGATTTAAAAAAATTGAAAATAGTTAAAAACTTGCAAAATTAGAATGTTCTGAAAGTGACTCCTTATATGGTAACATTGTTGCATCTGCAGGCTTGCAGTTGTGTACTGCATGTTTTTTACTTTTTTTTTTTTCAATTCTTTTCAGCACCTGGAGGATGTTCCAGGGGCCAGCGCCCCCACAACCCAGTGCATGACCTCACCGAGGAGTTTGGAGAGTTTTATACATGAACCATGTCCGTTCTTCAGTGTTGGTACATACATCATACATTTGGGCATATTTTTTTAGTAGAATGAAATTATGTAATGCTTCAAAGCATGGTTCTAACATGGGAATTCATGCTCTTCAATGACTGGTTGCATCAGGACCCTTTCCTGGGTATTTATCAGTGATCTGCTTAATGGTATTTCATTGAATTTTTGGCAAGCTGGTCTATTACCCATCTTCATCAGGTACATATGAGCAATCAGCATGACAACATCGAAATAAAAACACTTAAGCAGTATTATGCGATCCTTTATTGACGTTTCACCCATGCAGTGGGCTTTATTGTCACAAACAGATCTACCTGGGTGAAACATACATGGCTATATATAGAATGGGACCTAGGTAGTAGGTTAGTAGACAGCAACCGCCCAGGGAGGTACTACCGTCTTGCCAAGCGAGTGTAAAACGAAAGCCTGTAATTGTTTTACATGATGGTAGGATTGCTGGTGTCCTTTTTTCTGTTTCATAAACATGCAAGATTTCAGGTATGTCTTGATACTTCTACTTACACTTAGGTCACATTGCACATACATGTGCAAGCATATATATATACATACCCCTCTGGGTTTTCTTCTATTTTCTTTCTAGTTCTTGTCTATTTCCTCTCGTCTCCATGGGGAAGTGGATCAGAATTCTTCCTCCGTAAGCCATGCGTGTTGTAAGAGGCGACTAAAATGCCAGGAGCAAGGGGCTAGTAACCACTTCTGTATATATTACTAAATGTAAAAGGAGAAACTTTCGTTTTTCCTTTTGGGCCACCTCGCCTCGGTGGGATATGGCCGGTGTGTTGAAAGATATAGAATGGGAATGCTGGGTCAGGTGAAGAAAGGTGCAAGTGACCCAGCATTCCCATCCTATATATAGCCACATGTTTCACCCAGGTAAATCTGTTTGTGACTTGATAAAGCCCACTGCGTGGGTGAAACGTTGTCAATAAAGGATCACATTATACTGCTTAAGTGTTTATATTTTCATTGTGTCGGTATTTTATACCATTTATTTCCAAATAGGGAAATCAGATCAAACAAAAATGATCCTAAATGGATGAACAATAGATTAAAATATCTGATTGGTCAAAAGAGAGGCATATATAGGCAAATCAAAAGAGGAGAGGGGCAATTAAGAAATCGATATATTCAGTTAAAGAGAGAAATAAAAAAGGGAATTAGAAAAGCAAAAAGAGATTATGAGGTTAAAGTTGCAAGAGAATCGAAGACTAACCCAAAAGGATTCTTTCAGGTATACAGAAGTAAGATCAGGGACAAGATAGGCCCACTCAAAAGTTCCTCGGTCAGCTCACTGACAGTGATAAGGAAATGTGTAGAATTTTTAACACATACTTCCTCTCGGTTTTTACACAGGAGGATACCAGCGATATTCCAGTAATGATAAATTATGTAGAACAGGACGATAATAAACTGTGCACGATTAGGTCACAAGTGACATGGTCCTTAGGCAAATAGATAAATTAAAACCTAACAAATCCCCAGGCCCTGATGAACTGTATGCAAGGGTTCTAAAGGAATGTAAAGAGGAGCTTAGCACACCTTTGGCTAATCTTTTCAACATATCACTACAAAATGGCATGGTGCCAGATAAGTGAAACTGGCAAATGTGATACCATATTTTCAAAAACAGGTGACAGTCCTTAGCTTCGAACTATAGACCAATAAGCCAACCTCCATAGTGGGAAAATTTATGGAATCAATAATTGCCGAGGCAGTTCGTAGCCACCTTGAAAAGCATAAATTAATCAACGAATCTCAGCATGGTTTTACAAAGGGGCATTCCTGCCTTACGAATTTATTAACTTTTTTCACCAAGGTATTTGAGGAGGTAGATCATGGTAATGAATATGATATTGTGTATATGGACTTCAGTAAGGCTTTTGACAGGGTCCCACATCAGAGACTATTGAGGAAAATTAAAGCACATGGAATAGAGGAGAAATTTTTTCCTGGATAGAGGCATGTTGACAAATAGGCAGCAGAGAGTTTGCATAAATGGGGAGAAATCAGAGTGGGGAAGCATCACGAGCGGTGTTCCACAGGGGTCAGTGTTGGGCCCCCTGCTGTTCACAATCTACATAAACGACATAGATGAGGGCATAAAGAGCGACATTGGCAAGTTTGCCGATGTCACCAAAATAGGCCGTCAAATTCATTCTGACTAGGACATTCGAGCACTCCAGGAAGATTTGAATAGACTGATGCAGTGGTCGGAGAAGTGGCAGATGCAGTTTAATATAGACAAATGCAGAGTTCTAAATGTTGGACAGGACAATAACCATGCCACATATAAACTAAATAATGTAGATCTTAATATTACGGATTGCGAAAAAGATTTAGGAGTTCTGGTTAGCAGTAATCTGAAACCAAGACAACAGTGCATAAGTGTCCGCAATAAAGCTAATAGAATCCTTGGCTTCATATCAAGAAGCATAGATAATAGGAGTCCTCAGGTTGTTCTTCAACTCTATACATCATTGGTTAGGCCTCATTTAGATTATGCTGCACAGTTTTGGTCACCGTATTACAGAATGGATATAAATTCTCTGGAAAATGTACAAAGGAGGATGACAAAGTTGATCCCATGTATCAGAAACCTTCCCTATGAGGATAGACTAAGGGCCCTGAATCTGCACTCTCTAGAAAGACGTAGAATTAGGGGGATATGATTGAGGTGTAATAAATGGAAGGCAGGAATAAATAAAGGGGATGTAAATAGTGTGCTGAAAATATCTAGCCTAGACAGGACTCGCAGCAATGGTTTTAAGTTGGAAAAATTCAGATTCAGGAAGGATATAGGAAAGTACTGGTTTGGTAATAGAGTTGTGGATGAGTGGAACAAACTCCCGAGTACAGTTATAGAGGCCAGAACGTTGTGTAGCTTTAAAAATAGGTTGGATAAATACATGAGTGGATGTGGGTGGGTGTGAGTTGGACCTGATAGCTTGAGCTACCAGGTCGGTTGCCGTGTTCCTCCCTTAATTCAATGTGACCTGACCTGACTAGGTTGGGTGCATTGGCTTAAGCCGGTAGGAGATTTGGACCTGCCTCGCATGGGCCAGTAGGCCTTCTGCAGTGTTCCTTCGTTCTTATGTTCTTAACATCGAGGTGGAGACATGTTGGTATGGCACCTTGAGGCAAACTGTTCCCACAGTGCCCTACATGGGCAAGGATTTTTTGTTGGTGTGAACATCAGCACAGGCCTAACATTCCCAATCACTCATTTACAACACTGATCTACATGCATGGCAGTAAATGCACCCCCATTGATCATGTGGCAGTTTAAGGTTAATAAATGGCTTCCACAGATACTTGGTTGCTAAGTTAATTTTTTAACCCCAACTTAGAAATATACATACCCAACAAGGTATTGATATAGCTTATATTAAAAACAGTAGGGACATTCATTATTATTATAATCAAAAAGAAGCGCTAAGCCACAAGGACTATACAGCGCTGCAGGGCAGGAAGGAAGCGAGGGCATCAGGTGGCAAAAGGGAGATGGACGAGTACGTAATAGGTTACGGATAACAGCGGGGTAGTGGATGGTGAAAGGGTAAAGGGCAGCAAGAGACTGAACTAGAAAGGGCTGAGGGGAGTGCGAAAAGTATCAGAGTTTGTGGAGTAAATCAGTCGTTGTCAAGAAGTCGATGAGAGAGTCAGGATTAAAGGAGGGTCCATCAGCAAGAAGGAAAGGTAAAGAGAGAGTAGTAGAACGAAGACGACGGAGGTAAATTCTGCGTGCTCGTTGATAGAGAGGGCAGTCTAACAGAATGTGGCTAATCGATACTGGAACTTGACACTGCTCACAGAGAGGAACAGGGTGCCTCTCCATGAGATACCCATGAGTAAGACTAGTGTGCCAATGCGAAGGCGGGAGAGAGTGGTCTCCCAACCTCGGCACTGATGACAAGAAGACGGCCAGTAACCTATGCTCGGTTTAATAGAATGAAGTTTGTTACCGAGCAGAGTTGACCAACGTTGTTGCCAACGGGTGCAAAGGTGGGTAGTTATTGCAGCAAAATAGTCCAGAAATGGAACACCTCGATAGGAAATTGGTAGGTCATGTACTGCTGACCGCGCATCAGTGTCTGCCTGTTCATTGCCCTGTACGTCGACATGACCAGGGACCCAACAAAAAACAATATCTTTATGTTTGGTAGAGATACGGCGTAGCCAAAGTTGGATACGGAGAACGAGGGGATGAGATGTATCAAATTTTCGTATAGCCTGTAGAGCACTAAGGGAGTCTGAGACTACTACAAATGATGACACAGGCATGGATGCGATACGAATAAGTGCTGCAAGAATGGCATACAGTTCAGCAGTAAAAATGCTAGCTGAAGATAGTAAATGCCCCCGCATGACGCTGTCCGGAAACACTGCTGCGAATCCGACGCCGTCTGAAGACTTAGAGCCATCTGTGTACACAGCGGTGGCATGAGAGTGGGAGTGGAAGTGATCAAGAAAAAGAGAGCGGGAAGCCACCGTAGGCAGTTGAGCTTTTGAGCAAGGGAGTGAGAAAGAACAGACCCGAACAGCTGGAACTTCCCAGGGTGGTAACTGAAGGGAAGACAAGAGTGAATGTAGGCGAAGAGAAAAGGGACGGAGCAAACAGGGGCGGCGAACGAATAAAGAATGTCTAACTAAAAAGCCTGTTTTCAGAGGAGGAAAAAAAAAAAAAGGCACAAAAATACATATAATTTCTTTTATTTTCAATAAGGCAGGAAAAAATAAAGAAAATGTATAAAACTACACTTTGCAATCTTATAAAAAGTAAGGTTTACATTCCATATATTATGCATGTCTTCAATGGCCATAGTAAAGCAGCACATACCATCTCCCCCCCCAAAAAAAAAATTAAATTAAACTTTTGTATTAATATATAAAATATATATAAATAAAAATTCCACATGGCTATGTAGACTGGCTATCAAAATATATACAGTGAACTCCCACCTATGTGGATAAGGATGGAACACAATGCTGGATACACTGGACAAAAAGATACGATTACAGTCATTTATCCAGGTACAATCAATTTTACACCTCTTACCATTAACCCAACTTTGCATTCATTAGAAAATCCACAATAATTATTAACGGTTAGAAATATGGAAGTGTTAACCTTTGTAACTCAGTGTGGAGGTGGCAGAAACATGACTGCTTTTTCTAACTACAATCAGGTGTCATTGATACAATGTTATGAGCATCTTCCCAAATATCAATCCAGTTTACAATAATTTAGTGTAAACTTGGGCAAATGCTAATAAAACCAACTAAAAAAAACATACAAAAAAGGACTGATTAAAACTGTTATGTTTAATATTACTAGTCTTATGTATCACGATCATAAACGACTTGCAAAGGGAATCGTGCAGAGAAATGTCAATTGCACTCCCCCCACCCTCCATATCAAAGCCACTAATGTAATCTGATTTATACAGTAAAACCTCGATTTAATGAACCAGCTTTTTGGATTTAACCAACAAATTCCAGAAACAGATTGACTCGTTTTCAGAACTGTCCATTATAGCTACAGTCTGATGGGAAAGCTAATTTCAGATTTAAAGGAATCTTATTTCCAAAATTATTCATTATTTACCCAAAAGGCTGAAAGTAATCATTACCAGACACTATACTATCCTATTAGTCTGTTAAATCACCATTTCACTGTACTCTATCAGTTGTTACTAAGCTAACTTCATTTAAAAAAAAGAAAACTAAGCTTTAAGTAGAAAGCTTGAATTTTATATATAAAATTTGCATATTTTCAAAGTGATTTTAATATCAAAATAAACAATACTTCGAGTTTGTATATAAAAAAAATTATACTGCTTAACTGGAAGGAATCCTGTCCCCAATTCAAACAAGAGAGTGTTCACTGTGTATATGGTAAAATTAATTGTATAATGTCCCAAGTAGTAGTACAGGTGTGAAACTATACACATGAATGAGAACTTTTTACTCTTGACACTTTTATTTTTAACTAAATTAAAGACATACAATATTTTCTCACTAACATCCAGTTTCAGTACTACAAGTAGTAATAAAAACAAGGTCACAGTACATTTGACAAAGCTGCTATGTATTCATTCAGCCTCATTGTGGCCTTCTTCTTCATCATTTGTAGAGGAGTGCCAAGTTAGTCGTTCTTCATAGAACTTTATAACCACTTGGGGGCATCTGCTGTTGGCCTGCCTTGCAGGCACCAAATCTGCTTCATCAGTGCCTCTCCTGAAAATATTAATTAGATTTTAGATACAGTACCAAAATCTGATGCTCTATACAAGCTAAATACAAGAATATAGTAATTCAAGAGGTTGGATACTTTTTAAACCATCATTCAAGGGATGCAAAGTAAATTAATAAATTTCATTAACAATATCTCGCTAACTCCTCTCAAGTCATTTACACTGCTCCTAGTGATTTCTTAAAGCTCAGTGGAAGTTGTTTGCACAATATTTTGACTCCCTTAATACTCCTGGAGAGAACATCTGCTCCTGTTGTCCTTGCTGCAAGCTGTATTAACTCCTTCATTAATAATTTCAATGCCTAATAATACCATTTATTCTCTCATTCATCTCTGGTAGTGGCAGCTGGCTTGTTTATGAAAGCTACGAAATTATCTATTGAGCTCAGTGTATACGTACCTCCTATCATTTCCTATAAATTATATCTGCAACTTCCAGGAAGACAACTGTGACAGACAATAACGAGGATCAGTTGGTTTTTGCTCAATCTCCACTTCCCCGCATGCTGTACCATCATTATAATAATTGTGGGGCAGCACTAAACCTGTAGGATTATACAGTACCTGTGTGTGTAAGGGGGGTGGGGTTTCGAAGGTATTCAGGCTTAATTCAGGGAACTGGAGCACAGATCCAATTACCTAGATCAAGAGCCTCACCAGCATCAAGGAACCTCCCTTGAGGGGCCATGCTGTACCACAATATTTAATAGAGCACTACATCATACCCCCACAATCTTCAAAATAATTATATCCCACTACCGAAAATTCACAACAATCTTGATTTTTCTGCACGTGTGATGCAGAGTTCATTTGCATAATGCCAATAAAGCTTTAAATGTTTTCTGTTTAAAACTGTAATTTAAACTCTAAATACTTCACAACAGGTTGAACAATGAAGGAAGAAACACCATCTCATTCATCATCAAATGATCACAAACATACTAACCATTTCATAAGAAACATTAGTTCTCCACTCGAGTCTGTTGCTCCTATAATTCGCTCAGCTTCAAGTCCCCGATCAAATCCCCGTGGCCGACTGTCCTCCTGCAAAATGTATTTATAAATACAAGTAAACAATATTTTTCTTAAAATGCTTCAATAAAGCATGCATGTTTTGCACCTGCCAGATTAAAATTTTACCTGCAGAACTTTTTATAAAATTGTTTGTTATAACTTAAATGAAGCATCAGCTTCAGTTAAGTTCTTAATCCTTTCACTGTCCAGACCCCCAACTTAAGTCCTATTTTAAGCAAATTCCTGTTCCATTTGACCAAATTCTTAGCTTTTTCACTAGTATGCCTTCTGTTCTATGAATTGAGCACAAGAAACTGCCCATTTTACTATTTCATCTACTCAATCAAGTGCACATTAGTCAGTAATTTGCTAATTTTCAATTTTTTTTTTAAATAATCCAAAACAACGTAGACATTCTTGGCACTAAAACATTATTTTTCAACATGCTGGCTGCTTCTCACAAAGGCAGGGTGGCATGAAAAAGAAATGCTTTCACCATCGTTCACACTGTCTTGCCACACCTCTCCAATACTGCACCTCCCTTCCATTTTGAATTCTTATTCACACAAATTATATTACAATCAAAACGAAGCACTAAACCTACTAGGGTCATACAGCACTGCTTATTCACACAAAAATAGAAGACTTACTCTATTTATTGCATAATAAAATATGATTATGGTTTACGCTGTCCCAACAATTAAATCAAGACCTATTAAAAACCCATAAAACAGACTGAGGGCTGTATAGGGGCCTTACCTATCTTCTGGAATATCAGAAAATATTTAATATTTCTGCTACTTTGAACTCAATGTCAAGCTACTTCCAGTCCTGAAACTAATCAAATTATCTCTAGTTCAGTAATATGTCTATTCTATTAAATGATGCCAAGAAACAACCAATAAAACTACCTAGGAAAATACAAATGTATATCCAAAATCACTCTTTTAAACCATATAAACAGTTTTGTTTTTTCCCAAAATGCACTGAGTGGGGCAGGATTTTTTTTTATATGGTGCAAATTCATTCTCTCATATCGAGGCCAAAATTTACAACTCACAGTTTATCTGAGCGAGCTGAGCTCATGACGTAGAACTACATCAGGGACCCTGGCCTCAATGACTTAGTTCAACATGGACAGTGAAAGGGTTAAACTACTTTTTCTTCATGACACAAAGCTACACGTGATCCTATCTGAGGGACACTGGACCTTTCAATATTTATACATCCTGTACTTCTCTCTATTTACAAAATTAAGGATAAAATGAGAAAAACCTGAATCAAATATAGTATATCTAACTACTGTACTGCATCAGTTTCGTTGTTAAACAAGTAGTACGTGATCAACAAGTGATGATGCAGCAGCAGCAGCTGCTACTGCTACTACTACTACTGATGTTGCTACTACTATTACTACTGATTCTACCGCTACAGCTGCTGATTCTGCTACTACTACTATTACTACACTACTACTGTGACTTCTACATCCCCTACTACCACCACCACATTATGACAACTAGGGTTATGGAAGCTAAATCCTTGTGTATCTTAAAAAAATGTTAAACCATTACATGAATGGGCGAGAGTTGTCCCTGCCTAGCATGGGCCAGTAGTCCTGCTTCAGTGCTCCTCCTCTATTATATTATGGTAGGCACCAATGAACCCCGAACACTATCGTAATCACATTGACGTACAGGTCTCCCTCAACATTCACGTTTTCAGCTTTCGCGGGCTTCACACATTCGCGAATTCCCAACCGCCAAATCATATTCAAGTTTCCCGCCACCTGCGAGTCCCTACTACCCTCCCTCCGACCCCTGCAACTGACAGCCAGCCCTCCCACCACTCAGTGTGGTGAGTGTTTTGTTTGTTCATTATTTGCTATTAAACTACAGTATAAATAATGTAAACACATTCATGACTGCATATTGGAATGGCTATTTGGACAGGTATTAGACGGTGACATGTGTTTACTCTTGAACACAGCAAAGAATCAAACATTTCTGCTACTGCTAATAATAACAATAGTAATAATAATAATAATAAGAAGATATAATTGAAGAAGGAAATTGTACAAAAATACGAGGGAGTGGTTGACACATCGTCAGTGTGGCTTTGTTTATGCTGGAGTGAGCATTAGTCTCCCTGCTCTTCCAAACATTTCACAATAATTCGTTGTTTGGTGCTTGTAGATTGAGTGCGACTGGAGTGGTTGAGGCGTGTGTGGGGGAGGGCAGTGTAGGGCAGGGGTAGAGGCAGGGGTAGAGGCAGTGGTAGAGGCAGTGGTAGAGGCAGTGGTAGAGGCAGTGGTAGAGGCAGTGGTAGAGGCAGTGATATTTACTAACACACATGTTATAAATAATAATAGTACATTACGAATAACATTTATTATTATTATAAATGTTATTAATATTAACATGTACTATTATTATAGGTATTATTATTATTATTATAGGTAGTAGGTTGGTAGACAGCAACCACCCAGGGAGGTACTACCGTCCTGCCAAGTGAGTGTAAAACGAAAGCCTGTGATTGTTTTACATGATGGTAGGATTGCTGATGTCTTTTGTCTGTCTCATAAATATGCAAGATTACAGGCATGTCTTGCTACTTCTACTTACACTTAGGTCACACTACACATACATATACACATTTATTCATACACACTCATCTGAGTTTTCTTTGATTTTATCTTAATAGTTCTTGGTCTTATTAATTTTCCTTTTTATCCATGGGGAAGTGGAATAAGAATCTTCCTCCGTAAGCCATGCGTGTTGTAAAAGTCAACAAAAAATGCCGGAACAATGGGCTAGAAACCCCCTTTTCCTGTAAAGATTACAAAAAAGAATAAGAAGAAGAAAATTGTAAAAGTGGGAAGTCTGAATGTGCGTGGATGTTGTGCAGATGATAAAAAAGAGATGATTGTGGATGTTATGAATGAGAAAAAGCTGGATGTCCTGGCTTTAAGTGAAACAAAGTGAAGGGGGTGGGAGAGTTTCAGTGGAGAGGAATAAATGGGATTAGGGTCAGGGGTTTCAAATAGAGTTAGAGCAAAAGAAGGAGTAGCAATAATGTTGAAGGAAAAGGGGTTTATGGCAGGAAAAGAGGGACTAAAATGTTTTAAAATTAAAGGATTATGTGGAGTAAAATAAGATTGGATTTTGAAAAGTGGGTTAAAATAAGCGTGTATGCACCTGGAGAAGAGAGAAGTGTAGAGGAGAGGAGAGATTTTGGGAAATTTTTGAGTGAATGCGTGGGGATTTTTTAAATTTCAAGTGTGAGAGTAATGGTGGTTGGGGATTTCAATGCTAAAGTGGGTAAAAATGTTATGGAGGGAGTAGTAGGTAAATTTGGGGTGCCAGGGGTAAATGTAAATGGGGAGCCTTTAATTGAGCTATGTTTTTAGAAAGAATTTGGTAATAAGTAATACATATTTTATGAAAAGAGGATAAATAAATATACAAGGTATGATTTTAGCACGTAATGAAAGTTTTTTAAATTAGATTATGTATTGGTGGATAAAAGGTTGATGGGTAGGCTCCAGGATGTACATGTTTATAGAGGGCAACTGATATATCGGATCTTTAAATTTAGTTGTAGCTACAGTTAGAGTAAGAGGTAGATGGGAAAAGAGGAAGGTGGCAACAACAAGTAAGAGGGAGGTGAAATTTGTATAAACTAAGGGAGGAGGAAGTTCGGGTGAGATATAAGCGACTATTGGCAGAAAGGTGGGATAGTGCAAAGATGAGTAATGGGGGGGTTGAAGAGGGTTGGAATAGTTTTAAAAATGCAGTATTAGAATGTGGGGCAGAAAGTTTGTGGTTATAGGAGGGTGGGTGCAGGGAGGAAAGAGGAGTGATTGGTGGAATGATGAAGTAAAGGGTGTGATAAAAGAGAAAAGGTAGCTTATGAGAGGTTTTTAAAAAGCGAAGTGTTATAAGAAGAGCAGAATATATGGAGAGTAAAAGAAATGAAAAGGGAGTGGTGAGAGAGTGCAAAAGGAGAGCAGATGATAGAGTGGGAGAGGCCTGTCAAGAAAATTTTAATGAAAATAAGAAATTTTTTGGAAGTGAGTTAAAAAAAGTTAAGAAACCCAAGGGAAAAAAATGGATTTGTCAGTTAAAAACAGAGTAGGGGAGTTGTAGATGGGGAGATGGAGGTATTAGGTAGATGGCGAGAATATTTTGAGGAACTTTTAAATGTTAAGGGAAGAAACAGAGGCAGTAATTTCATGCACTGGTCAGGGAGGTTTACCATCTTTTAGGAGTGAAGAAGAGCAGAATGTAAGTGTGGGGGGGGTACGTGAGGCATTACGTAAAATGAAAGGGGTAAAGCAGCTGGAACTGAAAGGGATCATGACAGAAATGTTAAAAGCAGGGGGGGATATAGTGTTGGAGTGGTTGGTACTTTTGTTCAATAAAAGTATGAAAGAGGGGAAGGTACCTAGGGGTTGGCGGAGAGCATGTATGTCCCTTTATATAAAGGGAAAGGGGACAAAAGAGACTGTAAAAATTATAGAGGAATAAACTTACTGAGTAGACCAGGAAAAGTGTACTGTAGGGTTATAATTTAAAGAATTGAGGTAAGACAGAAAGTAGGATTGCGGATGAGCAAGGAGGTTTTTAGAGTGGGTAGGGGATGTGTAGATCAAGTGTTTACATTGAAGCATATATGTGAACAGTATTTAGATAAAGGTAGGGAAGTTTTTTTGCAAATTTTTGGATTTAAAAAGGCATATGATAGAGTGGATAGAGGAGCAATGTGGCAGATGTTGCAAGTATATGGAATAGGTTTGGGAAGTTATTAAATGCTGTAAAGAGTTTTTATGAGGATAGTGAGGCTCAGGTTAGGGTGTGTAGAAGAGAGGGAGACTATTTCCCGGTAAAAGTAGGTCTTAGACAGGGATGTGTAATGTCACCATGGGTTTTTTAATATATTTATAGATGGGGTTTTTAAAGGAAGTAAATGCTAGGGTGTTCGGGGAGGGGTGGGATTAAATTTTGGGGAATCAAATTCAAAATGGGAATTGACACAGTTACTTTTTGCTGATGATACTGTGCTTATGGGAATTCTAAAGAAAAATTGCAAAGGTTAGTGGATGAGTTTGGGAATGTGTGTAAAGGTAGAAAGCTGAAAGTGAACATAGAAAGAGTAAGGTGATGAGGGTGTCAAAAGATTTAGATAAAGAAAAATTGGATATCAAAAATTTGGGGGGGAGAGTATGGGAAAAAGTGATGGTTTTTAGATACTTGGGAGTTGACGTTTTCGGCGGGGTGGATTTATGAAGGATTGAGGTTAATCAAGAATTGATGAGGGAAAAAAGGTGAGTGGTGCGTTGAGGTATATGTGGAGTCAAAAAACGTTATCTATGGAGGCAAAGAAGGGAATGTATGAAAGTATAGTAGTAACCCAAAACTTTTATATGGGTTGCGAAGCTTGGGTGGTAAATGCAGCAGCGAGGAGACGTTGGAGGCAGTGGAGATGTCCTGTTAAGGGCAATGTGTGGTGTAAATATTATGCAGAAAAATTCGGAGTGTGGAAATTAGGAGAAGGTGTGGGGGTTAAAAAAAGTATTAGTCAGAGGGCGAAGAGGGGTTGTTGAGGTTGGTTTTGGTCATTTAGAGAGAATGGATCAAAGTAGAATGACATGGAAAGCATATAATCTTTTAGGGGAAAAGGAAAGGGGGGGTGGGGTCGTCCTCGAAAGGGTTGGAGAGAGGGGTAAAGGAGGTTTTTGGGCGAGGGGCTTGGACTTCCAGCAAGCGTGCGTGAGCGTGTTAGATGGAGTGAATGGAGACGAATGGTACTTGGGACCTGACGATCTGTTGGGTGTGGAGCAGGGTAATATTTAGTGAAGGGATTCAGGGAAACTGGTTATTTTCATATAGTCGGACTTGAGTCCTGGAAATGGGAAGTACAATGCCTGCACTTTAAAGGAGGGGTTTGGGATATTGGCAGTTTGGAGGGATATGTTGTGTATCTTTATATGTGTATGCTTCTAGACTGTTGTATTCTGAGCACCTCTGCAAAAACAGTGATAATGTGTGAGTGTGGTGAAAGTGTTGAATGATGATGAAAGTATTTTCTTTTTGGGGATTTTCTTTCTTTTTTGGGTCACCCTGCCTCGGTGGGAGACGGCCGACTTGTTGAGAAAAAAAAAAAAAAAAATGTACTATTATTATTTATAACATACGTATATGTTAGTAAATACCACTGCCTCAACCGCTGAATTATTGTGAAATGTTTGGAAGAGCAGGGAGATTAATGTTCACTCCAGCATAAACAAAGCCACACTGAAGATGTGTCAACCACTCCCTCGTATTTTTGTACAATTTCCTCCTTCAATTTTTTTTTTTATTATCACACTGGCCGATTCCCACCAAGGCAGGGTGGCCCGAAAAAGAAAAACTTTCACCATCATTCACTCCATCACTGTCTTGCCAGAAGGGTGCTTTACACTACAGTTTTTAAACTGCAACATTAACACCCCTCCTTCAGAGTGCAGGCACTGTACTTCCCATCTCCAGGACTCAAGTCCGGCCTGCCGGTTTCCCTGAACCCCTTCATAAATGTTACTTTGCTCACACTCCAACAGCACGTCAAGTATTAAAAACCATTCGTCTCCATTCACTCCTATCAAACACGCTCACGAACGCCTGCTGGAAGTCCAAGCCCCTCGCACACAAAACCTCCTTTACCCCCTCCCTCCAACCTTTCCTAGGCCGACCCCTACCCTGCCTTCCTTCCACTACAGACTGATACACTCTTGAAGTCATTCTTCAATTATATCGTATTATTATTATTATTATTATTACTATTGTTATTATTAGCAGTAGCAGAAATGTTTGATTCTTTGCTGTGTTCAAGAGTAAACACATGATGTCACCATCCAATACCTGTTCAAATAGCCATTCCAATATGCAGTCATGAATGTGTTTACATTATTTATACTGTAGTTTAATAGCAAATAATGAACAAACAAAACACTCACCACACTGAGTGGTGGGAGGGATGGCTGCCAGTTGCAGGGGTCAGAGGGAGGGTAGTAGGGACTCGCAGTGGTGGAGGCATTGGTGGAGTCTGTGGTATTTAATAACATACATGCTATTAAAGAATAACATGTATATATTTAGTACAATTTACGACGTTTTCATGTATTTTATGATTGTTCATGGTTCAACAAGTTCAGTATTGTATTATATTTCCCTACAATATATTGGGGCACCAAACATTCACGGTTTTTCAACATTCGCGAGGCTCTTGATCCCCTAACCCTCGCGAATGTTGAGGGACACCTGTATAGTGTATATACAGTAGGTACTATGTTGATATCAAGTTCTCTCTAAATTCAACCCTGATATGCAAATGGATAGAAGCAGGCAAGTGATCTTTCAGTATCAGAACAGTGTATGCATAACCTGTAACACAAAATATGAGTTTAACAACTAAACTTGCGTACATTTCGCACACAGAAGGTACTGTACTGACATACAGCCTCTCCTCACATAGCGATATACTTGTTTACCGATGACTAAGACTTACGATGGACTCTGACTAGTATGCATACCTAAATAATGCATATTAGAGCTGATTTCCTCTATTCTGTTAATTACAATATACTATATAAACATTTAAAAATACAGTGGACCCCCGAGTTTCGTGATTAATCCGTTCCAGAGAGTCTGCCGACTGGCGAAATCCACGATTGGCGAATCTATTTTCCCCATAAGAAATAATGGAAACCCAATTAATCCATTTCAGACAGCCAAAAGTATTAACAAAAAAAAATTTTTTTAAAGATTAAATATAGAATTACATACAGAAAACAATGACAAATAAATATAAAGCACTAATAAAATGGATAAATGAACATTTAACATCACACTTAACCTTTATTGATTCTTGTTGGTGTAGGAGGTAGATAGGAAGCAAGAGGAAGGCAAGTTTATTATGCTTCAATATGAGGCTAATATCTCTACGGCTTATTTATCTATCACAATTCATCTAATATGACATTATAACAAACATGAGATGTACTCTAGAATGAATAAAATATGTCATAATGTACGAGAGTAAATGTACATGTAAGTGTTGTTGTTGGGTTTAAGGGCCGCCACTGGGAGAAGCCGTGTTGGTGGCGGTGAAGGCTTGGGCCGCCACCACCATCACACTTAACCCATTGAGGGTTTCGGCCATACTAGTACGGCTTATGACCCAGCGTTTTTGACATACTAGTACGCCTAAATTCTAGCACCCTCAAATCTAGTGGGAGACAGCTGGTAGGCCTACATATGAAAGAATGGGTCTATGTGGTCAGTGTGCACAGTATAAATAAAATCCTGCAGCACACAGTGCATAATGAGAAAAAAAAAACTGACAGTTTTTTTGGAATAAAACAGCGACTTAGCGCTGTATTTTCGTATATTATTTATTGTTCTATTCTAGTTTTCTTGGTCTCATTTTATAGAAGGGAAGTCATATTAAAGAAATTGAGATGATTTTGACTGGTTTTACAATGAAAATTGCCTTGAAATTGAGCTCAAAGTAGCAGAAATGTTTGATTTTTACCAAAGTTCAAAAGTAAACAAATCATGCCAAGCGTCCAATACACGTCAACTGGTGAGTAATATTCTTTCGCAAGTGCGCCAATATTATTTATAATTTTTTTTACACTAATGCAGTAGTCTGCATAACAGTAAATCTTCTATTTTTTGTGAGAATAAAAATTCAAAGTGGAAAGCAAAAGAATGTAGGAGGGGCCTTGAGACGTGACTAATGAACAGAGGAAATGTCATTTTAATGCCAGGAATGTCTTTCTTGTTTATTCTGGACCCTATTCGGAAATTGGCATCTTTTGAAATTTGTGTGAAATTGGCAAAATTGCTAAATTCTTGCACTCATTCGATAGAAAAAATGGAGTTCTAGCAAAATATTCATGTTTTTTTGTCAACTAGTACAGTGGAATTGGCCGAAAATGGGGCTCAAAGTGGGCAAATTCACCGATGCGTAAACATCGCCGAGACGGCTAACTTCGCCAGAGCATAATTCCGTAAGTTTTCCATCAAATTTCATACTTTTGGTGTCATTATGATCGGGAAAAGATTCTCTATCTTTTCACAAGAAAACATTATTATTATTATTTTTTAAATTTGGCGGACCCTGAGAACGAGTCTCAGAGAGGGCCTGTCGACCCTCAAAGGGTTAAACAATGTATGTAATTTATAAATAAGAAATATTTACATTTTCAGAGTGGGTAGGGGATGTGTAGATCAAGTGTTTACATTGAAGCATATATGTGAACAGTATTTAGATAAAGGTAGGGAAGTTTTTATTGCATTTATGGATTTAGAAAAGACATATGATAGAGTGGATAGAGGAGCAATGTGGCAGATGTTGCAAGTTTATGGAATAGGTGGTAAGTTACTAAATGCTGTAAAGAGCTTTTATAAGGATAGTGAGGCTCAGGTTAGGGAGTGTAGAAGAGAGGGAGACTACTTCCCGGTAAAAGTAGGTCTTAGACAGGGATGTGTAATGTCACCATGGTTGTTTAATATATTTATAGATGGGGTTGTAAAAGAAGTAAATGCTAGGGTGTTCGGAGAGGGGTGGGATTAAATTATGGGAATCAAATTCAAAATGGGAATTGACACAGTTACTTTTTGCTGATGATACTGTGCTTATGGGAGATTCTAAAGAAAAATTGCAAAGGTTAGTGGATGAGTTTGAGAATGTGTGTAAAGGTAGAAAGTTGAAAGTGAACATAGAAAAGAGTAAGGTGATGAGGGTATCAAATGATTTAGATAAAGAAAAATTGGATATCAAATTGGGGAGGAGTATGGAAGAAGTGAATGTTTTCAGATACTTGGGAGTTGACGTGTCGGCGGATGGATTTATGAAGGATGAGGTTAATCATAGAATTGATGAGGGAAAAAAGGTGAGTGGTGCGTTGAGGTATATGTGGAGTCGAAAAACGTTATCTATGGAGGCAAAGAAGGGAATGTATGAAAGTATAGTAGTACCAACACTCTTATATGGATGTGAAGCTTGGGTGGTAAATGCAGCAGCGAGGAGACGGTTGGAGGCAGTGGAGATGTCCTGTCTAAGGGCAATGTGTGGTGTAAATATTATGCAGAAAATTCAGAGTGTGGAAATTATGAGAAGGTGTGGAGTTAATAAAAGCATTAGTCAGAGGGCAGAAGAGGGGTTGTTGAGGTGGTTTGGTCATTTAGAGAGAATGGATCAAAGTAGAATGACATGGAAAGCATATAAATCTATAGGGGAAGGAAAGAGGGGTAGGGGTCGTCCTCGAAAGGGTTGGAAAGAGGGGGTAAAGGAGGTTTTGTGGGCGAGGGGCTTGGACTTCCAGCAAGCGTGCATGAGCGTGTTAGATAGGAGTGAATGGAGACGAATGATACTTGGGACCTGACGATCTGTTGGAGTGTGAGCAGGGTAATATTTAGTGAAGGGATTCAGGGAAACCGATTATTTTCTTATAGTCGGACTTGAGTCCTGGAAATGGGAAGTACAATGCCTGCACTTTAAAGGAGGGGTTTGGGATATTGGCAGTTTGGAGGGATATGTTGTGTATCTTTATACGTATATGCTTCTAAACTGTTGTGTTCTGAGCACCTCTGCAAAAACAGTGATAATGTGTGAGTGTGGTGAAAGTGTTGAATGATGATGAAAGTATTTTCTTTTTGGGGATTTTCTTTCTTTTTTGGGTCACCCTGCCTCGGTGGGAGACGGCCGACTTGTTGAAAAAAAAAAAAAAAAAATTACATTTTCCTAGGTAGTAGGTTGGTAAACAGCAACCGCCCAGGGAGATACTACCGTCCTGCCAAGCGAGTGTACAACGAAAACCCGTAATTGTTTTACATAATGGTAGGATTGCTGGTGTCTTTTTTCGGTCTCATAAACATGCAAGATTTCAGGTATGTCTTGCTACTTCTACTTGCACTTAGGTCACACTACACATATATGTACAAGCATATATATACACACCCCTCTGGGCATTATTCTATTTTCTTTTTAGTTCTTGTTCTTGTTTATTTCCTCTTATCTCCATGGGGAAGTGGAACAGAATTCTTCCTCCGTAAGCCATGCGTGTTGTAAGAGGCGACTAAAATGCTGGGAGCAAGGGGCTAGTAACCCCTTCTCCCGTATAAATTATTAAATTTAAGAGAGAAACTTTCGTTTTTCTTTTTGGGCCACCCTGCCTTGGTGGGATACGGCTGGTGTGTTGAAAGAAAGAAGAAAGATGATTTATATTTTAATTTTTAAACAAGTAAGTTTATTCAGGTATACACAAATACAGTTACATACAGTAGGGCCCCAAAAATAACAAAGGCACAATACCGTGACTGGAACGATACACAAATAACCCGCACATAAAAGAGATAAGCTTACGACGACGTTTCGGTCCGACTTGGACCGGCAGGTTAGGTTCCAGGCTACCACCGTAAAGTGGAACCCCCTTTTTTCCACTTATAAATGCATACAAATACTAGATAAGTTTACACTAACATATATTAAGTTAGCAATAGAACTAGGCATCAAAAAACAATAAAAAAGTACAATACACACACACAGTGCACTCATTACTTACCTTAAAATATTTATAGTCTTAATCTAGGTTGAGACAAGTAGTATTTATTGTAAGAAATCAAGTGTGGTATGTATGGTAGTCAGCCGGGCTACCATACCAGGCCACCCCACCTACACATAATCTTCTATGATATTTGAGCATCCCAGAGTGATAAAATGTATATATATAGTTCACTCATTACTTACCTTAAAATATTTGTACTCTTAACCCTTTGACTGTTTTGGCCATATATATACGTCTTACGAGCCAGTGTTTCAGACGTATATATACTCAATAATTCTAGCGGCTTCAAATCAAGTGGAAGAAAGCTGGTAGGCCCACATGTGAGAGAATGGGTCTGTGTGGTCAGTGTGCACCACACAAAAAAAAAATCCTGCAGCACAGAGTGCGTAATGAGAAAAAAATGATCATTTTTTTTTTATTAAAACGCCGACTTTGAGGTGTATTTTCGTATAGTATTTATCAATGTATTTGCATTTTCATGGTCTTAGGTGGTAAAATGGAAAACA